AGAAATGATAGCCTGAAAATTAGAAAGCTAAGATTTTTTTCCTTCATTATTTAACATTCTTTTTGAGGCGGGGAGGGGACAAACATAATGGCCACGACATATTAAATTTTTAATCTTTTCGTTGCACTTTTTTGGATTTGATAGATCAAAAAATTATATCAATTTTAATTTATATAAATAAATTAATATTAATATATAATATTTTTTTATCAGATACTATTACAAAACAGAGGAAACACGGTTATTAGTGCTATGGGTAGAGCATTTCATAACAGTAAAGAAAAAAATCAAAGAAATCACAATATTTTTTATTTTCTTACTCAATCATAAAAAAATGCAAAAAAGAAATAAAAAAAACACCCTAACTAATAATTAAGGCGAAAAAAACAACTNAATCAAAGAAATCTTAGATACGAAATCACAATATTTTTTATTTTCTTACTCAATCATAAAAAAATGCAAAAAAGAAATAAAAAAAACACCCTAACTAATAATTAAGGCGAAAAAAACAACTTAATACAATAGCACCACCAACCTCACATACACTCTCAGAAACCCACCAGTCAAATAATACATCTGTCCGGTCTCTCTCTCTTATATATATGTTTTCACCATCTACTGCCAGAAAAGCCCCACTAGAGACAGCAACAATGAAAAGGAAAGGAAAGCAACAGACATGGTCACCGGAAACCCAGCCCCTGCGTCCAATGACGGTGCCGGTGCAGGGGCCATGTCAGTATCTTGCGCCATGACAGCAACAGAGGTGAGATATGCCACCACAAAGATTGTCAAGAATGTGGCTTTGGAGATGCCCAAGGATACCATTTGTGTGTATGGACAAAAGATATAGATGGATATAGAGAGAGATAGAGAAAATCTTGAGACAGAGACAGAGAGAGAGATTATTCACTGAGAAAACCAGATGAAAGATGAAGTGAGAGAGAGAGACAGACAGGAGTTTGTGATGTGGGATCGAGATGATGAGAGGCTTGGTATTTATTGCCGTTGTCTAGTGAGACGTTGGAATTATAGTCACAGTTAACAAAAGTATAATGTTATTTAAATTATTTCTCCTCAACGGTCGATTTTAACGTTAAGTAGTTGTTCAAGAGAGGAATCCAAACGTACAAGTAAGCTATCTGTTCAAGGGATGGACCCCACAGCTGCTTTATTACGCAAGACCAGAACGTTACATCAGTCTCGTACGTTCGGACAGATGTGAAAGGTTCGTTGTCTGTAATTTTGAATTTGTTAATTCTATTTGGTGGGGTAATTTCATGGTAATGAATTGAAAAATATTTTTTAATAACGTTTTCAAAATTATTATTTTTAAAAAATAANAATGCAGTTCTAATCTACTATTTTGAATCAAGCAAATTCAAATTAACACACTGCATAATTTGACATTCAAAGCCAATGGAAATTCATAGAGTTGAAATTTAGATGATGAAAATGCATGCGAAAAACAAAAATTAACATGAATTCAAACGGTAGTAAAACTATTGTCAAGTCGAAATTTTAATTCCATATGATAGTAAAACCAATCCTAGATAATGCCCATACCTGAAGACACTATGTAATAAACAAAAAATTCAAAAAAAATTGGTCGTGCCNTTACAGTTATAATATGAGTAATGCTATACTGACTATTTTTTTATTGTTAAAACATATATATTAAAATATAATAATTTAACATTAAAAAATTATAAATTTTAAAATGAATTTTGTGATTGCGATAATTATTGATGGGTAATAATGGAGGTGCCTCGGCTTCAGCTACTTTAGCTGGCATTTAATAATTTAATAACACGAAGATGTTATAATATAATTTAACTCAATTGTATTATTATAACCATTTAAGTTTTAACTGATATGACTAAATTGTTATTAACGAAACAAATATTATGACGCAAGCTAAAATTGATTGAGGATATTTTTATTAATTCAATATTAATACAATGAAATAATTTCCTAACCAAACAACGGAAGATTAAACTAAATACGATGAAATAATTTTCTAACCAAAAAATGGAGGATTGAATTAAATAGTTATTAGCTAACGCTTATATTGTATATACCAAACATTAATTAAAATTATTTATTATTCTAATACCTCATTTAATCTTATCTTTTATCCATATGTATCATATAAACTGAATTTCTTTATTCAATTCATTCATTTTTAATACGACAACCGAACGAACTCATAATATTTTTGTGTACCAAATGCTTTATTTAAATTTTAATAGTACACGTATTCTATTGATAATACGTGAAAATTAAAGTCAAATTTCTAAACTATCACAATTTTTTAGACTTTATTCCTTGTTTATAAGTGTTTTTTACTTATTTTCAAATTTACTATAAGTTATTAAAAAATTTTAATACAAGATTTTCGATATAAAAGTGTATTTACAAAATAAGTTTTACAAAACACATAATAAATTGAGAAATAAGATAAAAACTATCATAAAAGGGGAATAAAATTATTGAATGATAAATCAATTTTCACATAATTTTTACGAGTTTCGTTGTTATAGTGCCCAAAATTGAATTATCGACACCATAATAAAAAATTAAAATAAAATAAAATAATAAAATTTTCATGAATCACATTTTATTAACTTTGAACCTGATGATAATATGAATTAGTATCCATTTTATTAACTTTGAACTTGATGATAATATCAATTAGCATCCATTAATCTAGTATTATATTTATAATTTAACTGTTGGTTAAATGGTCATCGTCTCGTTATTGGACTACACGCGTTCGAACCTCATTATCGTTCTCCTATGTAAGTATACTAGTAAATGCCCGTACCTTAAGGCACTATGTAACATAAAAACATTGCCAAATTAAATACTTTTGAGATCAATTCTTTTAGCACAAAGAAAGAACATATTTTACAACAAACACTACCACCACACATCTCAACAATAATAATCCAAAAACCAAATTATCAGAAACTAAATTTGCACATGTTTGGGGACTTATTATGTCCAATCTTGATTTGGTAATACTATAAGTTGTTTTGGTAAATAAAATGAACTTTATCAATTGGGAGACAAAAAAAGGGAGAAAGAAAAAAAAAACACCTTAAAGAAGACAATACAAAGCCAGTAATACCAATCAGGCAAAATGCAGTTCTAATCTACTATTTTGAATCAAGCAAATTCAAATTAACACACTGCATAATTTGACATTCAAAGCCAATGGAAATTCATAGAGTTGAAATTTAGATGATGAAAATGCATGCGAAAAACAAAAATTAACATGAATTCAAACGGTAGTAAAACTATTGTCAAGTCGAAATTTTAATTCCATATGATAGTAAAACCAATCCTAGATAATGCCCATACCTGAAGACACTATGTAATAAACAAAAAATTCAAAAAAAATTGGTCGTGCTTGTAAGAACTGCATAATACAAAAAATTGCTCAATCCAAGTAACAATTGTGCATGAAATTCTTGTAACATTAAAAAAATCCACCAAAAGATTGAAACTTTTTTTTTTTAAATTAAACCTCGACTTAGCGAGTGAAATTTTATTCAATAATTCAAAATTTAAAATCCTAACCATGAGGATTTAGAACCATACACCTTATATAGCCGTTCGTGAAAATCCCTTCTTTATCTGCACGAAACTGAAAATATCTCCCAGAGACTTGTTCAAAAAACCGTCATCTGTGGGAGCAAAAAATCTGATTTGATTTCCTCCTCCTCCACCACCACCACCACCACAAAGCTCGGCTTCATACCTCCAGGATGCTATAGATCCAAAAATCAAACTATGTCTAAGAAAACAATACCAAAACCAAAACAAAAGGGTAAGTGAATCTAATTAGTAAAGGTCACGGAGAAATAGTACCTGCTCGTATAAGCAATTATTCACAGAACAAACCATAAAATTGATACACTCAAGTGTACCCAANTACGAGTTTCGTTGTTATAGTGCCCAAAATTGAATTATCGACACCATAATAAAAAATTAAAATAAAATAAAATAATAAAATTTTCATGAATCACATTTTATTAACTTTGAACCTGATGATAATATGAATTAGTATCCATTTTATTAACTTTGAACTTGATGATAATATCAATTAGCATCCATTAATCTAGTATTATATTTATAATTTAACTGTTGGTTAAATGGTCATCGTCTCGTTATTGGACTACACGCGTTCGAACCTCATTATCGTTCTCCTATGTAAGTATACTAGTAAATGCCCGCACCTTAAGGCACTATGTAACATAAAAACATTGCCAAATTAAATACTTTTGAGATCAATTCTTTTAGCACAAAGAAAGAACATATTTTACAACAAACACTACCACCACACATCTCAACAATAATAATCCAAAAACCAAATTATCAGAAACTAAATTTGCACATGTTTGGGGACTTATTATGTCCAATCTTGATTTGGTAATACTATAAGTTGTTTTGGTAAATAAAATGAACTTTATCAATTGGGAGACAAAAAAAGGGAGAAAGAAAAAAAAAACACCTTAAAGAAGACAATACAAAGCCAGTAATACCAATCAGGCAAAATGCAGTTCTAATCTACTATTTTGAATCAAGCAAATTCAAATTAACACACTGCATAATTTGACATTCAAAGCCAATGGAAATTCATAGAGTTGAAATTTAGATGATGAAAATGCATGCGAAAAACAAAAATTAACATGAATTCAAACGGTAGTAAAACTATTGTCAAGTCGAAATTTTAATTCCATATGATAGTAAAACCAATCCTAGATAATGCCCATACCTGAAGACACTATGTAATAAACAAAAAATTCAAAAAAAATTGGTCGTGCCTGTAAGAACTGCATAATACAAAAAATTGCTCAATCCAAGTAACAATCGTGCATGAAATTCTTATAACATTAAAAAAATCCACCAAAAGATTGAAGCTTTTTTTTTTTTAAATTAAACCACGACTTAGCGAGTGAAATTTTATTCAATAATTCAAAATTTAAAATCCTAACCACGAGGATTTAGAACCATACACCTTATATAGCCGTTCGTGAAAATCCCTTCTTTATCTGCACGAAACTGAAAATATCTCCCAGAGACTTGTTCAAAAAACCGTCATCTGTGGGAGCAAAAAATCTGATTTGATTTCCTCCTCCTCCACCACCACCACCACCACAAAGCTCGGCTTCATACCTCCAGGATGCTATAGATCCAAAAATCAAACTATGTCTAAGAAAACAATACCAAAACCAAAACAAAAGGGTAAGTGAATCTAATTAGTAAAGGTCACGGAGAAATAGTACCTGCTCGTATAAGCAATTATTCACAGAACAAACCATAAAATTGATACACTCAAGTGTACCCAANTCAGAAACTAAATTTGCACATGTTTGGGGACTTATTATGTCCAATCTTGATTTGGTAATACTATAAGTTGTTTTGGTAAATAAAATGAACTTTATCAATTGGGAGACAAAAAAAGGGAGAAAGAAAAAAAAACACCTTAAAGAAGACAATACAAAGCCAGTAATACCAATCAGGCAAAATGCAGTTCTAATCTACTATTTTGAATCAAGCAAATTCAAATTAACACACTGCATAATTTGACATTCAAAGCCAATGGAAATTCATAGAGTTGAAATTTAGATGATGAAAATGCATGCGAAAAACAAAAATTAACATGAATTCAAACGGTAGTAAAACTATTGTCAAGTCGAAATTTTAATTCCATATGATAGTAAAACCAATCCTAGATAATGCCCATACCTGAAGACACTATGTAATAAACAAAAAATTCAAAAAAAATTGGTCGTGCTTGTAAGAACTGCATAATACAAAAAATTGCTCAATCCAAGTAACAATTGTGCATGAAATTCTTGTAACATTAAAAAAATCCACCAAAAGATTGAAACTTTTTTTTTTTAAATTAAACCTCGACTTAGCGAGTGAAATTTTATTCAATAATTCAAAATTTAAAATCCTAACCATGAGGATTTAGAACCATACACCTTATATAGCCGTTCGTGAAAATCCCTTCTTTATCTGCACGAAACTGAAAATATCTCCCAGAGACTTGTTCAAAAAACCGTCATCTGTGGGAGCAAAAAATCTGATTTGATTTCCTCCTCCACCACCACCACCACCACCACAAAGCTCGGCTTCATACCTCCAGGATGCTATAGATCCAAAAATCAAACTATGTCTAAGAAAACAATACCAAAACCAAAACAAAAGGGTAAGTGAATCTAATTAGTAAAGGTCACGGAGAAATAGTACCTGCTCGTATAAGCAATTATTCACAGAACAAACCATAAAATTGATACACTCAAGTGTACCCAAATGCTTCAGATCAGCCAAAATTTCCAATTTTGAAACTTATCAAAATCAAAGAACAATAATCATAAACAAAATAAAAAAATCAGCCACTTTCAACTGATTAAAGGACAAAAAGGGCATATCTTATTTATTCTTAAAAATTGACGCTTCTATGTGTTTTTAACATAGTATTACCAAAACAACACACAAAATGTGCACAACATGGCCTGAGACAAAACAGGGGAAATTCATTAAAAAACTCAGCACGCAAACTGACCAAGAAGAAGATCATAATGAAGACAAAAGGATTGAAAAATGAACTAATCACCTCATGCAGTGTTTCTACATACCTTGTTAAAATGTTATCAAAACCAAACCCACAAAAAGAACTAGGTTAAATCTCAGCAGAATACACCACTTCGTAGTACAAAACAACATGAAGGTTAAACATTGGAATGTGATTTCAAAAGCATGTGGCTTAGTGCATTAAGTAAGCAGGTAAATAACAATTAGGATCTTAGACTTCGAAATCCTGTGGATAGAGCATTTAGCTTGAAGGACACCAATAATATTATTGTCGCTGCAGATGCCCCAAATATGCAGTAAGCAAAACTCTTTGTTGAATATGATGTTGTTGTTGATAAGATGAAGGATGAGAAGATCAAACCTATATCTAATTGATGACTTAGTGACCCGAACAAAATTAACTGCATCTATTCTCTATATGTTTTTCTAGGTTCCTTTATTGTGTGTTGAACAAATATTGGTACCCAGCGGGAAAAGAATAATGAGTGTGTCATTTTCATAAATTTCAATACAACATGGAAAATGGAGCAAGCTTACCCAGTGGAATGAAGTTCTCAACATCTCTATCCCTCTAGGGAGGAGCTTCACCATCTTTCATTTGCTATTCATCAAATGGTTCAATAAAACTTGTGTATGAAGCAAATCAATCCAAACTCAAAACTTCCACTCAAACCAACTATTTAGTTAGAGGTATATGACTTGAAAGAACATGTTCCACAACCAAACAAGAACTAATTGATCAAGCATGTACTACCTTCCAATAGAGATTAAATATATAAGCAAAAACAGAATTCAAAGAATATTAATTAAAATTATTAGTACCTAAACAACAATCCAAATGAATACTTGAGGCCAAGGAAGTCTCAAACATCAATTTTATAAGAAATCAAACATGAAGATACTCAACCACATGAAATTAGTTTTGAAAAGCAGGATCAATAACGGATGGTAGCAAACGAATAACACAATAGGGAAAAAAGTAGATATAACACCAAGAAACCAAAGAGAGAGGACCAAACAGAAACCAAAAAAACCAAATCCTTGTCAGGCATTTTGTGCGAGCAAGCCTAAAAAGTGGAAATTAGCAAAGCCGTGAGCACGTGTATGTTGTGCCGTTGGGTGGGTGGGTGCTGTGTGAATGCATTGAGGGTATGTGCAAAGAGTAATAGGAGAGAAAGAAAAGCTGTGGTGGTGGTGGAGATGGGGGGTTCTGATGGCGGAGTTCGGTGGGAAAGGGGTTGGGGGGAGAGCAGGGGTGGAGCCACGAATTTTACCCAGGTGGGCACTTTAATTATATAATCTAATTTTTTTCCTTCCAACCAATCACACTATATAACATATTTATATTTATTATATTATATTTGATATATGAAACTCATTTAACATAAAAAATTTCAAAAAAAAAATATATTGTTAGGGACGGAGCCATGAATATCTATGATAGAAGCAAAATATAATTGGTATAAAAAATTTAAGCCAAAATTAATACAAAAAAATTCAATTCAAGAATAAAAAAAAAGTAAGAATCAATACTAAATTATTGTGAAATAGTAAATTCAATTTTTATTTAGCCGAAACAAAATCTTAACAAAAAGACACAAAATAATTTTTTTAGTACATTTTAACTTAATTATATATTTCAATAAAATGTACAATTTTTTAAAATCTCTAAAATTTTATATATGAATGAAATGTAAATTAATTTTTGTATTTTATTAGGTTATAGACTATTATTACTAAAAAAAATGGTAAATAAAAATTAAAAATTATTCTTAAAAAATAACGAACGTTGTGTTAGATAAAGATAAATATTATATTTTTTGTCAATATACAAGTAAAACATTGACTCAATTCAAAACTAACATATTTATTTTAGAGGGTTAGTAGTCCACTAATTTATTAAAAAAAAAAAAAAAGACTAGAACCATTATTAAAATTTCTAAAAACTTAGGGGGTAAATATAATGTATAAAATAATTTTATAGGTTGGTGTAAGGAAGGACAAAAAAAATCAAGGAAGTGAGCTTCTCGTGTGTTGAGCTTTTCTCTATTTCTTCTTTTTTTCTTGTGGCTGGGTAGTGGACAATGGACAACTGGGAGTGAGTGATACAGAGAACAAAAAAAAAGATAAAATAGGTTTGAATCAAGTGAGCCAAAAATTTTATTTTTTAATGATGGTGGGCCAAAAATTTTGTTTTTTAATATGTGTGGATTGTGATAAGTCAAATATTTGATTTTTTTAATAAGTTTAGATATATAATAGTTAGTTCAATTTTTTTTGTTTTAAATGGACTTAATTGTTTAATTATTTTGGATAAATAATGTAGGTCTAATATAAATAAGGGAGCACACATAATATATATATATATATATATATATCTAATAAAAAAAAAATTTAAGGGGGGCACATGCCCACCCTGGCCCTTATCTCCCTCCGCCTATGGGGGAGGGGGAGAGGAGGAAAGGAGGGTGGTTGACGGTGGTGTTAGAATAATTATTATATTTAGACTTAGGGTTAGTTTAGTCATTTATTTTTTTTTATGTTGCCCTAGTTTAGTTTACTACATAAAAACCTCTTATAAGTAGTTTTCTTTTAACATTGTTTTGACTTATTGTGTCTCAATAATATTTTCTTCTTCTTTCTCTTACTTTTCTATGATTGATCAAAGTTAACATGATATCAAAGCATGGTTTCGATCCAAAATATATTGTAGCATCACAGTAATTTAGTTGGAGAAAGAATATATTCTTGAACTAGGGTTGACATCATCTATGACAATTTATTCTTAGATTAGGGTTGCTGATTTGTTTTTGTGGTTCTAATGGCTGTGAACAGTGCAGAAGTTACTACTCATGCGCTGTGAATAGTACCAAAGTTATTGTTCACGCGTTGTGAACAGGATCGAAGTTAATGTTCACGAGCTGTGAAGAGTGCCGAATTCGACTGTTATGGGTATTTGATTTACAAAATTGTTGAGTTGATTTGTTCGAACTTTGCATTGTTTGACGTTGGCTGCCTCTTCTCTTCTGTTGGTGCTTCTCGTTGTTGGGCCTTCTTCACTGAACTAATCTTTGCAAGGTAAGAAATCCTAACTACTAGAGTTTGTTAATTTTGGCTACTGTTGGTTTGGGGCTAGTTCTGATTTGACTATTCTTCTGTTAATTTGGGCTTGCTATTTGACATAGCGTTGCATTGTCTAAGTTTGTTTGCAATGTTTGTTTGGGCTTGCTATTTGACATAGTGTTGTATTGTTTAGGTTTGTTTGCATTTTTTCGCACTAAATAAGCAGAAAACTTTTGTTTCCTTTTTACTGATTGGTGGATTTGAGTCTTTGGAGGCAAATTTTGTGAACGAATGGCTAGGTGAGTATTTAATTTGTAAAATTGTTGAACTTTGATTTTCTGTTGGGCACTTATTTGCTATTTGGGTGTTGGGTTGGATTTTGCTAGGTTGTTGGGTTGCTAGATTTTGTTTGTTTACTTTAATATTTACTTTAGATTGCTTAATTTGGGTATTATGACCAGTGAAAATTTTGATTCTCTTCAAGCTATTAGTGTCAGATTAAAATGTGAGAACTCTGTATATTGAGCTTATGTTATGAAAATGTTAGTGGTGATTCGTCAGTTGCAACTGATCCTAAAGTCGAGAAATATGTTGACTTAAAGAATACTTGAGAAATCAACAACGCTACAATCATCACTTGGATTAACAACTCAGTTGATCAGACCATTGATGTTCATTTGACTAAGTTTAATACAACCAAGGAGATTTAGAATTATTTAGCTACCTTATTTGTTCAATATAAATTTGCAAAGAGGTATCAATTAGAGCATGAAATTTGAGCTGCATGTCAGGGTGATAAGAACATTCAAGAGTTCTACTCAGTTATGACTGGATATTGGGATCAGTTAGCACTCGTTGAACCTGTTGAACTGAGTACTCATAAGATATATTGCAATTTTAGAGAGCAGCAGAGGTTGGTGCAATTTTTGATGGCGCTCAGGGATGACTTTGAGGGACTATTCTTCATCATAATCCACTTCCCTCAGTGGATGCAGTAGTGAATGAGCTTCTGGCTAAAAAAGTTCGTCTTAAGACCTTTTCTGGAAAAAGTCTAATTCCATTGCCTACTCAGACTGTATTGGTTGTGCCTCTAACGGTGACTTCTAAATATCGGGGTCGTATAGCTTTAGATGAGTGTAGCTTCTGTCATGAGAAGGGCTACTGGAAGGCTCAATGCCCTAAACTGATGAACAAAAATGCAAAGAGGACAGCAAATCAATCAGCAGTGGATGAGTCCTCCTCACAGGCACCCAACCTAACTATGGTTGTTGATCAATTACAAAAGTTAATCTCTCTCCATCAGCCTGGTGCACTTACAGTATTTCCTTTAGTAGGTTCATTTACCTTAGGTCCTTAGGATCTACAGTCCAACAAGATGATTGAGACACACCGTAGAAAGGGAGGATTGTATGTAGCTAGCAGATTTCTTCACAAAATTGCATCCTGTCACTTGTTTCCGTTTTTTTCTTTGCAAACTCTTGATGTTTGATGTTATCACATCATAAGTTTGAGGGAGGGTGTTAAAATAGTTATTATATTTAGACTTAGGGGTAGTTTAATCATTTATTTTCTTTTATGTTGCCCTAGCTTAGTTTACTATAAAAAAACCTCTTATAAATAGTTTTCTTTTAAGGTTGTTCTGGCTTCTTATGCCTCAATAATATTCTCTTCTTCTTTCTCTTACTTTTCTATGATTGATTAAAGTTAACAGGTGGTATGTGTGTGTAGAGAGTAAGGGGAAAGAAAGAGGGATGTGGGCCAGGGTTTGGGTAGGGTGTAGTAGTACAAAGAGAGAGAGAAAGAGAGAGAGAGAGAGAGAGAGAGAGAGAGGAGAAATAGAAGAATAGGGGAGGGGAGGCATAGAATGACGATGATTGGTGGAATCAGAGATAGGGAGAGAGAGGAGGACAAAGAGATGGAAATACCAGGCATCAATGGGTGGTGGACCATGATTGTTGTTAGGCGTCATTGGGTAATGGTGCGTCGCCGTAACCAATGGGGCAGAGATAATAGAGAAGGTGCCGAGACAAAAGAGAAAAGCATAGATAGGGAAAGAGAGACGTATACCTAGCTGCATCGACGGTGGCTGTTGCTAGCATCGACCGACGAAGAGAGCGAGACAGGAGAGAGGAGAGGGAGGGAGCCGATGGGGGGAAATAAGAGAGAGATGAGAAGAGATTGCAATAAAATATCGCACAAATATTTATGCTCTGTACAGTAAGATGAAAATTAGTAAGATGAAAATCAGAAAGGATGGAAAGTAGAAAAAATATCTTCTAAGGAAAAAAATTAGGAATAATATATTTTCCTTTTTATGTGTTTGGTAGGATGAATAAAAAATAAAAATAATTAATTTTTTTTGTGCTTGGTAAGACGTGAAATATATATATTTTATTTTTTACTCCCTCCGTTCTTAAATATATGTCGTTTAAGATTTTTGCACAAGAATTAAGGAAGCTATTGAATAACTCTAATATGAGTAAAAAATAATTGTACAAGACTAAAATACCGTTATTCAATACATATTG